CACTCCAAGTAAGGGTGTTTCTATGTTATCAAGCTCTCCTAAGGCACTAAAAGTTTTGGATTGGTTTCTCTGGCCTGAAAACATCCATAAGTAATTATAATTAATTGCCTTCCCCATCCTAAGCTTCATTCTGAGCCTTGTTCTAGAAGAGAAATAAAGGCCAGAAGCTGAGAAATACCATCTTCTTGTAAGTGTTCTGAGGTTAAGCTCTTCATGATATAAAGAACACTCGCAAATCAATAAGACAGAGGTGCTCAGCACAATAAAAGATGACGATTAAGACAAATGTTCAAATCACACAATTAAGATAAATGTACAGATTGCACAATCAAGAGGAATGTGCAAATCACAAAAGAAATACAAAGACCAAAGTATAGAAAACATATATAGAAAGACATTCGACCTCAATAATAATTTTACAAAAAATTACAGGATGAGGCTACCTGTTTCCTATCAAGTTGGCAATTTAAAAAAAACACAGGCACAATTTTTGAGAGTGATTTTAGAATGCACCTTGATTATTTTAAAATGTGCATTCTCTTATACTTATTTTTACAGTTTTATCCTAAGAAGATAATTAACCACATGGATATATGATTTACTATGACAATGGTCATTGCCATGTAGTCTATAATTTATAATTTATAACAGTGAAAAACTGAGGGGGAAAAAGCCAAAAATGGTTGAAACATTCAATAGAATAGTACGCAGTTGCCGAAGTTATTTTGTAACTGAATATTTAATATGTGGGAAAAAGCTCAAGCAAAGAATGTAGAAAAGGGTCCCATTTTAATAGAGAAATTGCATAGATAAATATAAGGAATTGCACTCATGAAAGACCAGCATGGCAGATGCCACAATGTTAACAGTGGTTACCCTGGGTTGTAAGGTCACAGGAGATGCCATTTTCTTCTTTTTGCCTTATATGCTTGGTGGAAGCTTTTGGTAGTGAAAATGCATTATTTTTTTTTAGGAAGAAAAGACATACATAATAAAAGGAAAAAATCCAATGTGATTGACAGTGTTTGACAAATATGTCATGTTTTCTGCATCTCTTTACCACAGTTCTAATTTCTGTTTGCCCCTGAGATCTGTAAGCTCCCTTAGGAAATTTTAGCTGGAGATGAAAGAAGGGCAGTGGGTTCTTCTGTGAAATCTGGGAGGAACTGGAGAGGACCTTTGATGATTGGATTAGGTCCCCCTGCCCCACCTGGGATCTTCCCAGAAACCTCAGGTGGTTGCAGGGAAGTGAAGAGGTTGAGAATCACTAATCCTAACCTGGCTGAGGCCCAAGCCTTGGATCATATAACTTGCCACCCGTGTGATATTTGAGTGAAAGGATGTGCTATTAATAATTACATTGAGAAAATGGATGTAAGCCAGGACCATCTCAGGCAAACCAGGACATGTGTTCATCATGACCATAGGGAATGCAGCCTCATAGCACCGACTGCTGAAGGCTGTTAGGAGCTGTCCAACGATCTCATCTCACAGATGAGAAAAGCCGGGAACAGAGAGGGAACATGTGCTGCCCAAATTTGGCTAAGACACACGAGTCATGAGCAGGCTTTCCTGAAGCGTAACTCTAAAGAGTCCTCTGTGTGTATGTGTGTGACCCACCATGAAAGGACACAGCAAGGAGCGAGCAGAACTTCAGTTTTCTCTCCTGAAAGTCCACTGCCAAGAGTCAAACCAAAACCAACCCATGTCTTTCGGTTCTTAGAATTCACAAAAAATATCAGACTCCTAGACATAGAATACAAACTTGTGGTTGCCAAGGGGGCGGAGGGTGGGAAGGGATAGATGGAATTTCAAGACTGTAGAATAAATAAACAAGATTATACTGTAAAGCACACGGAAACATACACATGATCTTATGGTAGCTCACAGAGGAAAAAATGTGACAATGAATATATATATGTTCATGTATAACTGAAAAATTGTGCTCCACGCTGGAATTTGACACAACATTGTAAAATGATTATAAATCAATAAAAAGTGTAAAAAAAAAAAGTAGACTTTCAGAAAAAAAAATTCTCTACCTGACTTAAAATTTTTTTTTATTTTTAAATTTAACGCCACTACTTCCGAGCATGATGGGC